CCTAAACCCCTAAACCCCTATAGACCCCTTGACCCAAAACCCCGAAACCCCTAAACCCCGAAACCCAAAGCCCTAGAGCAGGCAGGGCCTGGGCTGCTGAGGCGTTGTTCGTTTTGGCCCGAGAGTTTAGGGCTCTCATCCCGTGAGCTTCAACACCGAAGCCTAGCCGTCAATGTAGGAGCTGAAATAGTTACCCATACCAGTTTAGGGGGTTCTTTTATGAGAATTATGGTATACTAGTTTGCGGGTTCCTTTACTATAAGTCTAATATAATGGGCCCCAAAACCCTATTCTAATTATTAAGGCCCCTACGTTAAATCAGCCCGCCTCCCTCACTGAAGTTGGGGGCTTTGCGACCCTAAACCCGAGCGGCGTGCCGAGGAATGTCCCCAATGATCGGGAAGATCCGAGGGATTGCCGCCAGGATGTGAAGCCAGGGCTCCTTCAGGTTCGGGCTCTACAGGGGTTTGAGGGCGAAGTGGCGGGGCAGGGTGAAAAGGGGGGTCCTTTAGATTGGGGTTTCTGGAATTTTTGGGCGTCTTGAGAGAAGGCGTTTGGGCTGTAGGGTTTAGGAACCCCTTAAACGAAGCCATTCCTAATCATTCTGGTGAACCTAATCCAACCCATGGGAACCCTTCAAAGGAGATGCTCTAATTCTTAAGGCCCCTGCTCAGGGGCTGAGTAGGTAACCTTTAGCCTTTTGGGGCGTTTTGTGATCCTACTATGACTATAATTCAACAGGTTAACCTTTTGTGGGCTAGGGTACTCAGCCCCTAGGCCTGTATTCGAGGTGCTTAGGGCATCGGGTCTTTTTTGTGTTCAAGCGAGGTCTGGGAGGTTCAGTTCTTCCATGAGATCGGGGCTCCTTTTCCCGGTGAATTCAGAACTCTTACAGAGCGAGAGAGAGAGAGAGAGAGAAATATATAGTGTATATATATATATATACACATACATTTATTTGTATATATATATATACCCATATATATATATATATGATTGAATATTGAAACTATATATTCTGTATTTGTGGTCGTTGTCAATATGATCTAACAGAAGCCCTTGTCTATCCATATCCCCTTTACTAGCTGACAATATTGCCGGCCTGCACAGAAATCATTGTCTAATACACAGAAGTCACTGTTTAAAATAATAAATCCACAGAAAATGTTTATGGACACTACTCGCTGGCCTTCTTCTTCCCTACGCTGATTATCCTTCACTCTCTACAAACCCCAAAGCCACCTCGTCGTTTATTGCTTATGAGCCCGCCTCCAGAAACTACGGCGCTCCGGTTTAAGCCCACGTCCGAAAGGGCTGTATTTACCCAAATAGTAGGCTACTGGCTTACATAATATACCAACTAATCCCTTATAAACCCCAAAATCCCTACACCCATAAATCATACTATTCGGGTAACTGGAGCCCTAGAGTAACCCCAAGCAACCCCATCCGACATCGAAACTCAGACGCCAAGCCCTCAACCCTAAACCCTGAACCCAGGCAACCCCATGTTCAAGCGCCTGCCAGCCGAAGTGGCCCGGGATCCGAACTTCTCTGGCTTTCGGGGGTGTAGGGTTGAGAGGTTTGGGGCTTGATGGTTTAGGGTTGAAAGGCTTGGGGTTTAGGGTTAGGGTTGAAAGGTTTGGGGTTCATGGTTTTATATAGGAGCTTGCAAACTTTCTCACTTACGACTTCAATGACGACGAGTACGTGATGCTGACGGGCAGAACATCATGATAAGTGCCAGTCGCAAGACTCGGCAGTATGTACCAACAGTGCCTACCGTAAGAGCAATACTGGTACCCGCCAGCGTGTGGCAACCTTAATCAAGTACAATTAGCTCCTCCTCATCTGCATCGTGAAGATCACCATGGTGGTACTGAACGTCCTCGAGCCAACCACGTCAGACGGTGTAGCAGGTTGTGTAGTGAAGTGGCTTTGCTACCCTACCCTTTTCGGGATTAGCTATCCAAAGAAGCGACGGCAATACTGGAGCTGTGTGAACGTGAGAAGATATTCGCCTGTCCTGCATGTTACGGGTCAATCAAGGATTCTGTGCGGCAAAGGCTTGAAAAGCATGATTTGGCTGGCAGCTGCGGAGCATCTGTCTCCAAAGGCATCCCTAAACCCTTAGCTCAATGCCGGACACTCCGAAACTCTGAACCTGAAGCACCCGAAACCCTACACCCCTAACCCCTAGACCCTTCAGCCTAAATTCCAAAGCCTAGGCCCATCCAAGTCACAGCCCCGAAAGCAACAAGATGAGCAATGATCCAGGTTTCGGGGTTAGGGTCTAGGGTTTGGGAGTTAGGGTGCATGTACCCTTAAAGTTCGTACTGTGGCCCCAAGTCACCCAAACCACGTCAGGCCCAAGTATCTCTGGGGTGTTTGGGGTGTTACGCTTTGAGGGCCTCAAGTTCGAGGGACAAGGGGTCATCTTTAACCCTTAACCTTAGGCTCGCTTTTTTTGTTTGTGTTTAGGGCTCGGGCACGCCAAATGCGAGTCCCAACACCAAACCCTCAACTACTACTTACACTCCTGGGCCTGAAGCCCCAATTAGTTCCGAATACCGACTGTTTTTTTGTTTCTACAAAGTTCCACGGAGCAGAGCTGATGGTCCGAAATTCCATGGCTTATGGTCAAAACCTTCTCGGGCGTGGACCATGTTTCGGCGCTCCTCGTGCTTTGGCTGCGAAGTGGGTATCCTCACAAATCTTGGCGTACATGATCTCAAACGCGAAACCCTAAACCCTAAATCCTAAACCCTAAACCCTAAATCCCAAACCCGAAACCCTAAACCGCAATACCATGGTGGCTTGAGGGTATTCCGCGTTTCGGGCTTCAGGGCTTCAGAGTTCCCCGGGGTCTGGGGTTCGAGGTTTAGGCTTCCAGTCCAACGGGTTCAGGGTGAAGTTTAAAGTTTAGGGTTTTAGGGTTTAGGGTTTAGGGTTCAGGGTTTAAGGTTTTAGGGTTTAGGGTTTAGGGTTTAGTTTTTGGGCTTAGGGCTGAAGGGTTTTGGGATTCCGGGCTTCAGGTTTGGGGGGTGTTGCGGATGATGCTGGTGACGCGGATAAGCATGATTGGATGATGGTTTTGGCGTATGATATCGGATTGTGTTGATGTCGGCTTAATGCAAGTTGAGAGCACGGGGTTAGGATCAATACCCATGCCTAAGGCAGAGACAATATCTGCAATGACGACGATAGCGTACACGACGTAGACGACGTTGCTGTTGCTGGCCCAGAAGACGACCACAGACATACGAATCCCACACTTGATGGTTTCTGGTGATTATTGCTGCTCGTTGTGTCTTGCATACCCAAGATCAAAATGCCGGATCAGTTTGTTTTTGTGGGGCCTCTAGCAAGTTTGCTGCTTCGACGACCTCAGGGCTGGGCTCTTTGCAATGGATTCAGGGTTCCTTTTAGGCTTCCCTTTAAGGGCTCTCTATAAGGGGTTCAGGCTTTGCGGTGCGATGTAAACTTACGGATTCTATGATGGCCTTGCCCCAAGTGGATGCAGGAGTCTGCATGGAAAAAGTAAAGCCCAAGTCACTGCCAAGGAGTGTGCCAGAAATCGGAGGGTTTGGGTAGGGTTCAACGCCATAAGCCAGTTATTGTCAAGCAGATGCAGACAAGGTACCAGAGCCAGATAGATAGATAGATAGATAGATAGATAGATGGAAGAGAGACAGAGCGAGAGAGAGAGAGAGAGATATAAATATATATATATATATGTATATATGTACACATATATATATATATATAGGTATATATATATATATATATATCATAAATATATACATACGTATACACACACACACACATCTAGCACATGGGATGTGACCCGACCTCTGCCGAAAACTCTTGTAGAACCATTTGGGAGTTCTTTAATCAGTCGGTAAGGTGCCGTATGGCAGCACCTTCCAGACGGCTTTGGGAACGACGGCCAGGATTGAAGACGAACAGCAAGATCAGCAGCCGTGAGATGCAGTGTTTGGGGTTTTAGCGACTTGCTGGTTCGAGCTTTCGTATCAGGGTCTGATGAATTACCATCAGGGTTCCTTACTGTAGCCATAGACAAAAGACCCAAACACCCTATTCTAGTTATAAAGGCCTCTATAGTAGGGTTTGGGTGTCGAGGGTTTTTGGTGCGGCGGGGTTGAGGTTTTTTTGGCCTTCTCTACTTTAGGGTACCTGCGTGGGGTCCTTCTCAAGATCACTTTCGAAGGCTTCGAATTTGGGGTGCCTCGAGAGGTTTCTGACATGTGGGGGCTTTCGAGTTGCGATTGCAGCTTTATGTAGGGTTTCGGGTTTGGGGTTGATCATCATTTTCGGCTGCCTCAGTGTCAGAGCTTTGACAGTGCTTAGTTCTGACTTGACACGGTCATCGGTCGGCTCGCGAGGCTGTGCGCATCGTTAGTAAAATCCTGGCTGACAGTCAGTGGAAGCAGCAACAGAGTGTTTTAGAACCCCAAACCCTAAACCCTAATGTTTTAAAGCATTGGCGTTGTTCGACACACGCCTCACAAAGACTACTGCAGTATGTGTGGCCCGCTCATGCCGCCCTAGACACTGAACACCTAAAACTCGAGTTCCTGAATGAAAGGCCCAAGCCCTACAAACCCTCACAGCTGAAACCCAGTGCCTCTAAACAATAGAAACACAACAGTTTTTGTAGCCTTATAGCCTCTGAATCCAAAGGCCTCCGAATTTTCTTCGGTGTGCCTTAAGTCCGATACCCCAGGATTTTCGGTGTGTCGGCTGCTGCACTGGCCCCGGATTTGTCGACGTTGCTGCTTCTCTGCGACCGCGGAGAGATCTTCGAGGCGACTGTGGCATCTTGGCCAAATCAAAATGGTTTCGGGTTTAGGGCTTACTATAGTCTTTGACAGGTTCTCGGTTTAGGGTTTAGTTTGGTGTTATTTTGGCTTTCAGGGTCCATGTTCTTGGCTTATGGTTTGAATTTTCCTGGGGCCTTGGGATTCAATGAATATTGTTCTGAGTAGAGTATGGTATCAGGGAGCGAAAACCCTTGCATGCAGCATCCCAAGTGACCTAAAGCCAAACCCCCTTGACCACGAGGCGAGGGGGTGTTTTTGATATTTTGAGTCATGGTGATGAACCTTTGTTCTGATGATTGTGATTGAATGTTCTTTTGTCTTATCATTGCGTTGTTTGTGATACTGATGTTACGTGAGGCCTCTCGTACCACTATATTCGACATTTAAGCCCCCAACGTGTATGCTGTATCGGTACATGGAACGTCCAGGAGTGTTATTCCCGACGGTAAGCCTAAAAGCCGAGAAGGGCAGCCAATGACTACCTTCATCGCGAACTTCCAACTTTGTTGCCTCTTGCGTAGGGCTCCGTGGGATGCTAAGGCTGTAGGTTGAAGGCAGAGGGTACATGATCCAATACAGTTTTCAAGTATGAATGAACTTCGGACAATCGATATCCTGCGAAACCTACTGCATGAGTCCGATTACTTCCTGCGAAGCCCTTCTCAAGAAACATCTTCTGCTGCTGGTGGCAATCACTAAGAGGTGGCCCGCTCGCGACAGCCCGTTGGAGCTGTGCCAATGACTTTGGTCACATGATTTGTCAGCACCCTGTGACGACCTGGAAGAAAGTGTTCCCTGAAGAACTGGCGCGTTTGGCTTTGATGGCTAACGCTGCCTAATTACAGCTCCTACACTCCTAGATCTCACACTCCTAAGCGCCTCTACTCCAAATCTCAGGCGTTTGGCAACCGCAGCATCAGCTTTTCGTCGCTGTCCTGGCAGGAGATCGGTGCCTTTGATTCTGCGAATCCCTGAGAAACCTAAGGTGCATTCCCCAAGGCTCGGGCCGGTTTAGAAGTTTAGAAGTTCAGAGTTTAGGGTTTAGAAGTTTAGAGCTTCAGAGTTTAGGCTTTAGGGTATAGCTTAAAGTCCGAAGTCTGGTTTTGTTATGTTTTATTACGGTTGCAGGTGCCTAAAATTCATTGGCCTTGGGTTTTTGGGGATTTGGGGTTTCGGGTTGGGGTTGTGATTGGTTATAGACACTGAACCGTACAGCTCGATCTCTTAAGCATCCATATCCTCAACTCCACGCACCGGAACCCCTAAAACCACAACACCGCACCCCCTAAGCACTTAAAGACACACTCTTCACTCCCAGACTAAGTTATTCTGGCAGGACCGGCGAGAACTTCTGGCTCGAGACAGGATGCGCGCATATTGTTTGTGTTTAGAGTTTAGGGCTGTTAAAACAATTTTATTGGGTTTAGATGGTTTGGGTTTAGGGTTTTCAATGTTTTGGGTGTTCAAAGTTTGGAGGTGTAAAGTTGTGACCTTCAAGCTCTTGGGATTTCGTGCTCGGGCTATGGGCAGTTATGGGGGGGTGTGCTGGCTTAGATTTCAGGGACAATGGCATGGGATTACAGTAAGGATTTGGGGAGGTGGGTTTATACCATAAGAGTTTAAGAGTTGCGATGAAGGTTTGAGAGTTCTTGCATCGTTTTTTCGTCGGGGTTATAAGGGCTTGGGATCCAGGATTGGGTTCTGTGCGTCTGCAGACCTTATGCCCCAAAGCCAGTGGAGAAGCCTCAAAGATCGAGCTCTGAAGGAGCCTCCAAAGGACCAAAACCCAAAATCCTAAACTCTAAACCCTCAATTCCGAAACCCTAGACCCTAATTCCAAACAAAGCCCGAAACTTCCGGCGGCGCAGGAACGGGAAGCCCATCACTCTGGATGCGGAGGGCCTCACTGTCGCCGGGAGATCCGGAGAAAGAAAGTGCATTTTTTAGGGTTAAACTGTTAAACTCTAAACCCTGAACCCTAAACCCTAAAACCCTAAACCCTCAACCCTAACCTTTTTTTTGTGGGCTCCCAGGAGAAGGGATCCATCAGAGTTGTACAACTTTTTGGAGCTTGGGGTCTTCCGGACTTCCGGACTTGCACGGCTTCGGCTTACAAGGAACATCCTTGCGGTTTTAGGATTTGTTTGGGGTTTAGGGTTTAGGGTTTAGGGTTTAGGGCTGAGGGGTTTTGCTGCAACTTCGGCGGATAGACTGTGCCCTTGTCGCACTGTCTCCTCGAGGCTGCTTCGTCTCATGCCAGATCTTCGGCTTAGTCCAAAAGGCTTTGGGGCCGAAAAGTCGAAATGCAGGTAGTTATGATGCATTATTTGTCAAAGGCGTAGCTAGGCTTCGCAGGCTTAAGGAAAACGTCCATGGGTGCAAATCCTGAATTTTAAACTCTGAAGTTGTCTGATGCCTCTTGCGAAAACTTTGCACCTTTCAGGCTTCCAGGGTCTGGGATGTGGTCTAGGCTTTAGGGTTTAGGATTACCCAAACCAGCTTCCTAGCTTAATACACCATTGAAGCATGTTGGAGCATGGAGTTTACAGGGTTTGCAGAGACATCTGTGGCTTCTGATGATTATGGTTCGTATTTGCAATATTATGCCTATACTTTTATTGGCTAATATTTTGGTACACCATATGTCGATGACTAGGGGCATTATCACTGGCATGATGATGCTTATGCGCATGATCATTATTTTGGATATGTTTTACTACCACTGGAATCAACACAACCCCTAAGCACCTAGACCCCAAACCCCGAAACCCCAAGCTCTACACCCTAAACCCTTAAACCCTAAACCCCCTAACCGCCAAGCTGTGTATGGACCCAAAAACCCTAAACCCAAAACCTCTGTACTCCAAGCCTTATTGACCAAAAAGCCTTAAACCCTAGACCCCAAACCCACAATCCGAGTCTTGGAGACACCAGGAGCCAGGTCTTTGTGTCTACGGAGCCTTCGAGGCTTTTTAGGCGCAGTTTTTTTTTTGGTTATGGAGAAATTCTCCGCGGAGGGCCCCTGGGATTTATAGGGCTTTAGGAGTTTTTCGATTTTGGGGTTCTGGGTTTTGTGGCTTTGGGCTTAGGGGCTTTGGGTGTGGGGGGTTTGCCGGTTTAGGGAAGCCTAAGCCCTGAAGGGGTTTCTGGTGTCTATTAGGTGCAGAAACCCTTAACCCTGAACCCAGATACCCTAAACCCTAAACCCAAAAACCCTAAACACTAAACCCCAAACCCTAAGCCCTAAACCCAAGCAGGCTCCCCGACTGGGCCTCGGCACCTTGGAAACGCCCTGCCGGTCCTCTTGAGGCGCAGTGTCTCGGCCCTGGCTTGTTTTTATGGGGTCCTTTAAGGGATTCCTGTAAGGGGTTCCTTAAGGGTTTGCGGTTTAGGACTCTTTAAGGTTTAGGGTTTTAGGGTTTAGGATGCTTCAAGGGTTTAGGGTTTAGGATTCCTTAAGGGTTTGGGGTTTAGGATTCTTAAGGTTTAGGGTTTTAGGGTTTAGGATGCTTCAAGGGTTTAGGGTTTAGGATTCCTTAAGGGTTTGGGGTTTCGGATTCTTTAAGGTTTTGGGTTTTAGGGTTTAGGATGCTTTGAGGGTTTAGGGTTTAGGATTCCTTAAGGGTTTGGGGTTTCGGATTCTTTAAGGTTTAGGGTTTTAGGGTTTAGGATGCTTTGAGGGTTTAGGGTTTAGGATTCCTTAAGGGTTTGGGGTTTAGGATTCTTTAAGGTTTAGGGTTTTAGGGTTTAGGATGCTTTAAGGGTTTAGGGTTTAGAGCTTAGGATTCTTAAATGGTGTCTCCTTTAAGGATGGAGGCTTGTATAATAGGGTTTCCTTTTAAGGGGGGCTTTGGAATCCCTTTTAGGCTGCTGGGTTCAGGGCCTCGTTCAGGCTTCCTGTCAGGGTTCCTTTAGTGGCGGGGTGCTTTGAGGGTTCTATGGGAACTGTGGATGACGCGGGATTCGGGCTCCTTAAAGGGATGGATTCTGTACGGGCCACGATAAGGAATTTAGGGTTTTGGCCTATATAGTGGTTTATGGTTTTAGGCGTACTGTAAGAACCTCCCGTCAGCTCAAGAACACCCACCAAGGCTAAACTGGCCCCAACCCATGGAACCCTACATTGCTAAAGCAGAAAAGCATTCGCGGACGCTTCCAAGAAGTGCAAGCCCAAGACACCCGAAAACACCCTCACTGACAGGGACACAGACAGACAGATCGACCGACGGACGGACAGGCAGACACACAGACAAACAGACAAACAAAAAACACATCTTTAGATATACCCGGAACAAGACCCCAGAAGGCAAAAAGCCAAGCTCTAAACCATAGACACTCCCTCAAACGTCTGAAGCGAGCAAAGCTTTAGATGACTTGTGCATCCAGAGAATGTATAGCTACTCTGGGGCAATTCAACGTAAGCATAATAAAGAACCCCAAAACCCTTTTCTAATCAATAAGGCCTCTATATTATGCACCCTAAACCCTAAACCCTAAACCCTAAACCCGCCTACAAACATTGAGGTTGCTGGCCCATCAGCCTTCCGAGTATTTCGCGGGGGAGCTGCCGAACCAGGGCCTTGAGGTGTTTTGCGAAGGGCTTTTTTTTGGGGGGGGGGGGGGNNTTGGGGTTCAGGATTCAGGGTTGAGGTTTAGGGTTGAGGGCTTCAGGGTTGAGGATTTTAGGGTGTTTTTTGGGTTTTGGGTTTTATGTTTTAGGGTTTAGGGTTGAGGGCTTTGGGCTTGAGTTTTAGGTGTTAGGGCTTAGGGTTGAGGGCTCTGGGCTTCAGGATTTTGGGGTTTTATGGGGTTTTGGGTTTTTGGTTCTGGGTTTAGGCTCAGGGTTTATGCTGTTGGCGGTTTCGAGGCCGCCTTGCGGAAATCCGGCACTTTCGGAAGTAACGTAGACGCTCAACATGCATGTGGGTTTGGAGTTACAGGTTTAGGGACTATAATTAAAGGTTCAACCGTTAAGCATCATTGCCTTCATGGTTTTTGAAGTCCACAGAATCCCAGCACAAATCATCGTAAGTCCATGTTGCAGAGCTTGCTCTAGAGATTCAGTCTTCTTCACTTTGGTTTCGGATCTCGGGTTAAGGACTTAATTACGGTTTTGCGATTTGCCGCAGAAAGCGCGTTGGATTTGAAGATTTCTACATGGCAACGATGAGCTGTTGAATTTCTTGTGTAGTTTTTCTAATTTGCAGTATAGGTCGGACAGGGTCCCGAGGGTAAATCCCACACCCCGACAGTTCCCCGACAGTTGGCCCGTCTCGCTTGCCAGGAACCCTTGTAGGTACCCGTGTTAGAACCGTGCTAGCAACCATAAAACCCCTAAACCCTAAACCCTAAACCCTAAACCGTTCTGGGAACCGCTGTCCAGGCTCTGACATCGCCACGCACCAAGGAGGCTGTCACGAGCATCGTGACGGGCATCGAGGGGCCACTAGTCCAGGAGCCTCCAAGGGCTGAGGGCTTATAGAGATTAGCTAGGCTGCTAGATGCAAATACCTGTGTGTATGTATGTGTGTATGTATGTAGTAATCTGTGACTGTGAAGCAAGTATACACACATACATGTGTATATATATATATATAACATGAATGAATAAACCCATAAATGTATTTGTAGGCACAAATCCTGAGCCCTATGTGCTGCAAAATGCAGTATTTTAGACCTTATCGGCAAAGCTCCTGTACAAATCCAGGCCGGAGTGGGTGTTTTCATTTGTTTTGCTGTTGGTGTTTTGACCCAAACCCTAGACCCTACATCCTAAACCCTGAACCGTGCACTGCGGCTGAAGCCCCGGCAAACCAGCAAGCGAGTGAACGGCCAGTTCGGGCCTCCACTGCACAAAAAGCACACGCAGCCAGCAAAAAAGAACGCACACCGACGCCAATTGTTTCTTGTTAAAACAACAACCCTATCACCCACGGCAACACAAAAACCACCCACGGCACCGACAGCAAAAAGAGCACACATCGGTGCGGGTTGTTAGTCTTGCTAGGGTGTTGTTTTTGCCGTTGGTGCGAGGGGTGGTGTGGTGTTTGTTATTTTTTGCTGTGGGTTCAGGCGGGTGTTGCTGTTTGGACCCGAACATTCCCCCGCTCCCCCCGCACTCACAGTGAACAAGCACACACCCATCATAGGCAAAGGGTTTTAGTTTAGGGTTTCGGGTTAGGGCTTCGGCATCGTCGTCGTCATCAGCATCAGCATCAGCACATGAATAATCATCATCACCATCATGGTCTTCACCAGTTACCACTACAGCAAAGAGTTCTTGAACAAATATCCTCTTTCCACCATGAAGCCTAAACTCTTTTGTTTGGCCTCTTCCCTGCCTCGGAAGGACGACCCGAGAGTGCGGCGAGTTTTGGAGGCAGGAGATCTGCTAACCCTAAACCTAAACCCTAAACCCCCAAAACCTTTTGACCGGCAGCTTCTGGCTGGTTCGCTAAGCCCTAGACCGCAGAAAAGGACATGTTGGAGTGTACAGGTAGGATTCTTGGTGTCCGGTCACGATCTACATGGGAGTTTCGCAAATAAGGCAGGCCTCACTTCAAGGTGGTGAATGCTTTATGACCTACTTTTCCAGTTATGCTTTGCTCGGACACGTTTTTGGGGGGGCACAGATCTCAGACGTCCCGATCTTTTCTGCTCTCGAAGTTTCAACAGAGCGTGTACAAAATGACTAGCGAATGAAACACCCCATTGGATCACGCGGTGATACAATCCTACAGTTTGCAGGCCGCAGCGACTCTCGGTCTCAAGGACGAATCAACAAATAAATAAATAAATATATATATATATATATACACATGTATATATATATATATGTACATATATATATATATATACAAATATATATCTATAAATATATTTCAAATCGTTCTAAGCACCATGGAATAAATAGAAGCACTTGGATTTAAGGAATAGATGCATCCAAACCACGAACAAAAGATAAACTCTGCAGCCATGCAGCTCGATTGAGCCGAAATGCGAAAGCACTCCAAACCGTAGCGTCTCCGTAAGTTGGGAATTGTTGTTTGATATCTCAAGTTGCGGCTAGAACTGTACGTTTAACACAGCTGAGAGTTTGGGAGAACAGGGACTTACGATAGCGGCTTATGAGGTCTGTGGGTTCGGATGCCTCCAGCTGTACGCGTGAGAGTGGTGAGGGCTGTGAAATTCTGGGCGTGCACATAGCTGGAGACCAAGTAGACCTAGACTCCGCATCCAAGCAGCCTCAGAGGCACGGGCTCATGAATCTTCAAGCAGGGACACGCTGCAGGATCCTTTCCTGAGGCTTGAAACGGACTTCGGTAGCATCGGCTCAAAGAGTAAAGGGTGTTTCCAAGCTTAGAGCTTGAGAGTTGTGATATGAACAAGCCAGCTGCTAGGAGCAGGATCCATTTTGGGGGGTTAAGGGTGTGCAGCACATACGACCTCAAGCCTGGAAACTCCAGAAAGCAGATCTGCACGCTCGATGAGCTATGTCGTGCTCTCTGCGCTTTTGCTGCTGGCGCCAACTTGGGTGCAGGCTGCCAAGGCTGCCAGGGATGGAAACTGCAGCGACGTTGCAACTTGTTCTCATGATTTTGCACAAGTTCCTATTCTTTTTTTCCCGGCATCCTCGTGCGAAGGTTTCTATACTCCCCGGTCAACCTTGAACTCAGGCCAAGCTGAAGGCTCAGACACAAATAAGGATATATAATATGCCCGAAATCCAACCCTAAGAACCCCAAAACCCTAAAGCCCACAAATCTCAAACCCTAAACCTTAAACACGAGGCCCAAAACTTAAAGCCCTAAGCCCTAAACCCCGAAACCGGAAACCCCTAAAGCCCAAAGCCCTACAACCGTAGTCTCAAACCAAGACGGAAGTTGGTTTGAACCCGGATGGCACCTGCTGCTTTGAGCACAGATTTTACAACGACTTCAGAACCTACGTGTGGAAGCTGCTGGGCGATTTAGGGTGTGGGGTTTAGCCTTTTAGGTTGGGCTTGCCTATGCGCCGTATTGTTTTATCGTCTGAAACCCTACCGATAAGCCTTGGAAGAATCTCTCTCTGTCTCTCTGTCTTTTTTCTTTATGTATTTATTTATTGCGTTATGTATTTCTTTCTTTCGTCATTTCTTTCTTTCTTGAGTTATGACGTTATTTATTTCTTTAGTTTTTTCTTTCTTTATTGTGTTTATTTATTTCATTATTTCTTTCTTTCTTTATTTATTTCTTTCGTTAAGTCTTTATGTATTTATTTCTTTCTGTCTTTCGTTATTTCTTTATTTCTTTCTTTCTTCATTTCTTTCTTTCTCTCGCTCTCTATAGATAGATATAGATGAATGGATGGATAGATAGGTAGATAGGTAGATAGGTAGGTAGGTAGAAAGAAAGATAGATAGATTAGATGCACACTTTTCGATATATATATATATATAGATAGATAGATAGATATATATATATATATACATGCATGCCGCAAGCCCCAGCATCCTTCACGCCAAGCCGTGCAACCTCTTAGCTCGATTGGGTTTAACTTCGGTTTAATTCTGACTTGCTCGGAAACTTAAGGAACCGACAAGGCATGCCATAGAAATGGAGTCTTACTCGGTTTAGGGTTTAGGCTTAAGGCCAGCTTTGTTGTAGCAAAACTCTCTGATTGGGCTGTTGGGGTTTAGGGTTTAGGGTTTAGGGGATCACCGGTGGCTATAGATTCTGAAACCTGAATCTGGAACTCTGAACCCTCACCCCTCGACCCAAAGTACTAAACCGTAAATCCCACTCTCCCAAACTCTAGTAAGACTAAGACTTCAGAAAGCTCGGTTCATGATTGATGGCTTTCGGTTTTGGTTGCAGGGGTTTGGGAGGAACGCCAAATACTTTGCAGGTGCAGAATGTTTCGTTATACTACAGTTGGCTCGAAGTTACACCCTAAACGATAAGCCAGTAGCCTGATCCCAAAGCTCTACCAACGAAACATCCCCGGGTTTCCAGAAAGCTTACGAACTTTGGGCCTCGAACGGTCCAACCCTAAAACCGGAAGCTAGCCTAATCCCTATGCACAATACCGTTAAACCATCAACTACCCTTCGAAGCCTTCCACTGGATACAATCATGAACCCACTGTTGATGGAGACGAATTCTGCATTATGACATTGTCCATAACGAGCGAGATGCCATCACTCACACACCGTTTAGGGGGTTCAGGGCTTGATACCCTAACAAGGAACCAAAGAAGGCAACAGCACAGTTCTTATAGTTACCCTCAGCAACCCTAAACCCTAAGCCCTACACCCTAAAGGTTCTTCAGGGGCATGGCGGTCAAGCCCTGGATGCAGTTCCCGCACCGTATTCCACTGCTGAAACGTGGGCTTCTTGATCTGGAGGCCTGGGGTTCGTCTCACGGTTCCGCTCTGGGGTTTAAGGTTTAGGGGTTTAGGGTTTAGGGTTTAGGGTTGCGGGTTTAGGGTTTAGGGTTTAGGAGTGAGATGTTGGGTTCCCTTAAGTGTTGCTGGTGGGATGCTGCATTTACATTGGGCTTCCGTTGGTCGATACATGATCTGTGGCTGGATTTCCCAAACCCCGCCTGGGATCTTATTTCAGAGACTCAGAAGGATTGTAAGTTTCAATGTCTATAGGCCTACGTTAATCCCCAGATACCCCAGCCCGTAACCCTATAAACGTTAAAAGGCCCAAAACAAGATCCTCGCCCCGCCTCCACCCAAAAAACAACAAAACTCAAAGAGGAGGGATGCCTAATTGTATAATTATAGCTCCCTAAACTGAAGCCTTGTTTGTGGACCCTAAACCATAAACTCTGCAACCAGAAACGTCGAAACGCACCAAAACGTCCGGTGACGAGGCTGGAGGATGCCTGTCGATGGGGGTCTCCTTTGTACACCTCCTGGAGACTTATTCGATCATAATCGCAGCCACGCCTCTCGACCGTCGAACGAACTCTCCCCCGCGTTGCTTTGGGGCTTCAGGCTTTCAGCAGTTTAGAATTTTACGACAACTCTAGCCTACACCCTGAACCCGGTTTCAGTGGTTCGGACTCTCGGGGCTGCTGGAAGGTATGGGTTGTTGGAACCAGGAGTATGTAATTATATGGATCCTTTCTCCAGGTGCTTTGAGGTTGTGTCGGGCTTGTTTGTAGGACTTTTCTCTGACATTCATGGGTGGCCCTTACTAATCTATCTGATAAGGCCATGACTCTAAACTCTGACCTGCATTCTGTACTGTGAGCCGCTACATACACTCATCTCCAACGCCCTGGAAAAGGGTCTTGAGATTGCAGCGGATACCTGAACCCCAGTAAACGGAGAGAGCGTCTGAGGAAGCATAAAAAGCAACGCACAAGTTCCAAGTCCTTTTGGGTTTGGGGTTTGGGGACTTAGAGGTTTAGGGTGTAGGGGTTTAGGGTTTGGGGGGCTTCAGGTTTTAAGGTTTCGAAGCTCAGGCTCGGGGACTGCGGCTGTTGAAGCTGACATAGAAGCTTCAACAATCACCTGCTTTGTTGCGTTGGGTTCCTTACTATTGTACTTGTATCATAACATGCCCCCAAACCTTATTGCTCTTATGAGTAAGCCTTACGAAGGCCCTTCACCAGAGCCCTTCACCAGAGCCCTTTAAAGGAACCCTATTCTAATCATTAAGAGCCCTTTAAAGGAACCCTATTCTAATCATTATAAGGCTTAAGGCCTATATATGGCCCTTCACCAGAGCCCTTTAAAGGAACCCTAATCATTAAGGCTTAAGGCCAGCCTCCTTTTGGGACACAAGGCCCAGGTTACACTCGTTTCACCAGAATTCAGAATGCAAAGGACGCGCTGCTTGACGGCTCTGAAGTCTCCAGAAGAAGAAGAAGGCTTAAGGCCTCTTTATGGCGACCCGAGGCCTTTGATGGGCATCGGCAAGGAAGCGGCAGAGTTGGTGGAATCCCCTCTCGATGTTCTTTTCCTCCGACTTTCGGCAAGGAGAAGCTAAACCCTAAACCCTAAACCCTATAAAACCCTAAACCCTAAAACCCTAAAACCCTAAACCCTAAAACCCTAAACCCTAAAAACTTAGGGATTGTCAGTTTGTAATCTTCGGCTTCGAGCTCAACCCTGAACCGCAAGCTCTGAAACCTAAATCCCCAATTCCTGAAGCCTAAACCCCCAACCCTTAAACCCTGAACCCAAGTCATTCTTCGGGCTCCAGGTTCTTGTGAAGCTATCTTGGGAATTGGATACCTTTCAAAAGGATCCTAAACCCATGTGCCACGGTTTCATCAAGACACGCCGGCATTGAGCTCCTATGGTTCTTACCATGAAAAATCCAAATATTACAAAACATGCCAAACCGGTCCTGGCATTTCTGTGAAAATCTTGAGTTTCTG